TGGACGCCCACCCCCAGACACAAAGAACCACCAACGCACCGACACCTGAGGGAGTCCGCCACCGGCAGGGGAAGTGGTGGTAGGTGGAGATAGGCCTCCAAACCTTGGAGGGCCTGAGGTGTCCCCAGAGAGGTGGCGCCTGATACCCAACCTGACATATAGACACAGACATACAGGCACACACAGACACAAACATCCATTCCCACCCTCATGCTCTCATATGCACTTACTCCACACTCAACCAACGTGGAGACAGACATAAAGAGACGCTGTGCACACGATCACACTCCCCAAGCGTACTCTACAAACTCCATAGCAGCAGGGAGGCCCCACACTCCAGACCGCAGTCGGACGGCCAACTCCACCTAGCCCTCCCGCTCCAGCAGGCCGCAGAGAATGGGGGTGAGAGAAGACTCCAAACCTCCCTCCACCCGCTCATTGTAGTGTTGATGCATGTGTGTTCTAAGGTGCAATTAAAACCCAGGAGGGCATGGAGCTACCTGCCAAGGAGCAGCAGGTAAGCGCATAGTCCCTCCTGATAGCCCTCAATGTCTACGTGTATTTAAAATTGAGAGGTGGGCAATGACGCCAGGGGGGAGGTGTACACCCTGATGGTAATTTGGACTCCGTGATTGTGCCCACCCCCAAGATCCTATATGTATGTGTAATGAGAGTGTGAATAATGTGAATGTCTAAGTTGTGGGATAAAATTGAGGCAGAGGCAGCCAGAAGGGGACAGAGGGGGGGGGGGGGGTAGCCTCCTCTGCACCCTGGTGACATACCCCTACTCCACCCCTACTGGGTGGTTGTGGTGGAGCGGGAAGAGAGAGGCAGCTGGAGATGGGGAGGGAAGGAAGGGAGGGGCAGGTAACCCCTCCCTGGGGCCAGCCACTTTAATAATAAAGCAATGTGCTGGTTTTGCACCGTCTTCTCTCACTGTTTCCATTTTAAAGGGAAAGCAGAAGAAAGCTGACATGTATTTTTATAACTACAGGATCAAACATTTCCCAGAGGTTTGTTCAGTCTGATGATGCTGCATCAAAACCTGCAGCATCTATCATACAATGTTTAGATCTTAGGAATCAGTTAAATGAGTCAGACTTCAGACCTTTAGGACAGTGTGGGATGTTTTTATACATGAAAATTATCCACAAGTTCTAAAGAAACATATATTTAAAATCACCTGCTGTCCTTGGGTTTAGCTTGTGCAGTTTTGTGCTTTATTTGCTCCTCCCATCTCAAGACTGACATGACCTTTCTGAGTGCGGGTTATCTATGTAGAGCAACCGTCCAAAGATGCAGCTGCACTGCCCTCTTCTGCAGAGAAGCCAAACTGCAACATCAAGAAATAAAAGTAAACCTGACACGTCCTTCTACTCACCTCTTCTCAAACCAATCTCATGTTTCTTCTGGTTAAAACAATAATAAGTGTTTGTTAGACTCCTTAAAATATACTCTAAAGTAAAAGCTCTTTTGCCTTTTCCATTTCAGGGTCCAGAGGGGGCCGTAGTCTATCCCCCTCCCAGCAACCATACAGCAAGAGGTGGGTTACACCCTGGAAACATCGCCAACCAGGGCCAAAGAGAGACAGACAACCATTCACTCACCTTCACACCTAAGTGTGATCTAGAATCAGAAAGTACCCCCCCACACACACACGGAGAGCAAACCCCACAGACCCACAATACCACACACACATCATGTCAGAAAAGTCCCAACAAACCTCTGTGAACAAAACAGTTTTAATAAGAACTTTCACAGCATTAACAGAGTGTCCCGTGTGAACAGCTCACAAACCAAAAACACGGGCAGATAAATTTAACAGTTGTTGTGCTGACACTGGATGTTTCAAACACAGCAAAGAAATAAGCAGAGTAACATTTTTCTTGGTTTCATGCATATAAAATTACAGTGATTTTTTATCTTTAGTCTTAAATATTTAGTCTCATAAATTTGCCTTTTTATTCCTTTCATAATAAAGCAAAAGCCTGTCTCTGGCCTTCAGAGGACAAACTAGTTCACAGAGACGTTAATGCTCTATGAGTCTGTAAAACAGCTTCTTTTTTAAAAACAAACAAAAGTTGATGCATTTTTACTCCATCCTGGTAACATAAACAAACCCTGAAGCTGCATTTATAGAGACCAAACCAAAAAAACAGAAAATTCTGTTTTCTTCAAGTGAACCTTCGATAAACTCTGTGCCTCTGTGAGGTTAGGATCATCACACACTCAGGATTATAACACTCAGTGTTTCATTGTGCAGACGTGCTGAATCACATGCATTGGATTACAAAAAGACACCAAACCAGAACAAAAAAACAACCTGGCGAACATTGTAAGGGAAACACACATGAGACAGTTTACTGCAGACTGTATGTGAGCCAAGGTTACACCTGCAAAACAGAAAGATGAAGCCAGAGCTGCAGTTCCTCTGATATCCACTCTATCCCTGCAGCTGTTTTGCATCCTCATGATAACTGTGCTGGATGTGACTTATCTTTGGTGTCTGTGACTGACAGCTGTGAATCACCTCGGCTATTTCACCACAGCTGATTGGAGTCCCTGAAATGGACCTCTGGACCGTGTTTGTGCTGTTGGAGTATTTATTTAACCACTAATATGACTGCTGTGCAGTTAAATGTACAAACAGATCATCTAACACAGCGGTCCCCAACCCCCGGGCCTCAGACCGGTACCGGTCCGTGAGTCGTTTGGTACCGGGCGGTGAGAGTTGAGGCTCAGGTGTGAAATGTCTGGTTTTCAGGGTTTTTATCGGTTTTCAGCGTTATTTTGTTATCGTTTTTATCGTTAACTCGGTTTTCCTGGGTCTGTTCACGTGTGTTATGAATAAATCTTCTTTTTTTCGGTACCAGTACTAGTTTTATTTTGTTGTATTTATCCGCGACACCTTAAAGGTCGGTCCGTGAAAATATTGTCGGGCATAAACCGGCCCGTGGCGCAGAAAAGGTTGGAGACCGCTGATCTAACATACCCGAGTTCCAGTTTGGTGAGTGGAATTTTAGGGCTTTACTCATCAGTTATTAACTAATTAGCCGGATCTGTGTCTACAAAGCTGCACCAATAGAGTCTGTGGATACAGTCGGCTAACTATCCAGACAGCCAAAGAAAACTGCAGATGTGAGGCACATTTGGCACAAGCAGTCATTCCCGTCTGAGCTAGCGTTCTAGCATCATGAACCCGTCCTCTCTGATGTCTCTGTTTGTTTGCTCTCAAATGTTTTGCTCAGTTGTTGTAAACTTTTGTGCGATTCCACAAACCCACGTGATTAAAAAAACGATCATATGAGACTTTACTCTTATTATTTAACATGCTGTAGTAAAAGACAAAATGCTGAACAAAGAATCTGTGTGATGTGATGAAACCGATTATTTTGCAAACAGCGTCAATAAAAAAAACATCCAGACGTGTAAAGTAAGACTTTCAAACTCTGATATGAGGCTTTGTGCAGAGCTGTTTAGCTTTTGATCACTGCAAATATTTGGAAGTGATTTTCTGTGTCACTGGTTTTGACTTTAAAAGCAGTAAAAGTGTGAGGTGTGTTTGGATTTAAAATAAAAGTAAACTACATATAATTGCAGGGGTTTTTTCTCCTGGAACTACAGTTTATTTGAGCTTTCTTAGAAACTTAAATGACCACAACTTGTGAGTGAATTTTAGTTTGTTTAAGATTGAGCCTGAAAATGTTTTATCAACCATTTAAAGTTTGTTTTTGTTTTTTTCTTCAGTAGCAAAATGTACCAGAAAGCATTTTTGGAGGGAAAAACCAGATTTGACTCTTATGAGATTTCCCTTTTTTCCTTTTTGTTTCCAGATTATGATTATTTGCAAGAAAACAGTTTGTAGTTCAGATCGTAATCACAGAAGCAGCATTACCATATTTAGAGTATAAAAAGTCTGTATTTGCCAGACAGAATTGATTCAGATTAAAGTGTGTTAAATATGAATAATGTGGGACAAGAAAGGACAAATTGAACCTATTATTACTTCATCAAGGCTACAAAGTCGAGATCAGATGCATCAAAGCACCGATACCAACTTACCCTCAGGAACAAAGGTGGTGGGGATGCTGTTCTGAGAGTCAGATAGCTCAATGAAAAGTATTAAGGCATGATGAATGGGTTCATAAATGCCTGAATGCTGAAATCTAGAGTGACCAATTGAGTGCTGGAATGAAAACAGTCGCAAGCCTAAAACCTCTGTGATCTGAAGATATGAGCACGATACAACTTAAATTAAGAAAAACAGCAGATCACTTATTTCTAATCTTGTCAGCGTTAATCTCATTAAAATGACGTTAACGTCATAACCGCATTGACGTGGCAAATTTCCGTTAGCAAATTATCACGGATCACCCCGAGCGTGGGGCTGGACCGCGTCAACACATTAGCGTGGTTAGCTCGTTAATGCGTTAGCGCTATCCAGCCCCACGCACGGGGCGATCCGTGATAATTTGCTAACCATACTTGCCACGTTAATGTGGTCATGGTGTTAATGTAATTTTAACGCTGAGATTAACGCTTAGAGCTCTACTCATTTCATTTCATTCATCCTTCTCAACTAACGGCTCTGCAGACACCCATCTACACATCTAACTGGTAAATTTCAGTTGCTGCATCATGCAAACCACTTTGCAACCCACCCTTGATTCTCCCTTCATGCTGTGTCCAACAGAGAGGTGTTTAGCTTCTCCAGCATTTGTTAGGATCTTTGTAAATAATTAGAAACTATTTTTTTCCCAATCATTTACTTTCATCAGCCTTCAGAGTCTCTTTCAAATCCAAAGATAAGCATTTTAAATTCTGGTGGAAATGATTTTGAGGAAAGCTACCAGGTACCAGCTTACAAAACAGTAAACTGACCCTTAAAACCATCATTCAGTTATTTTTTAGCTGTTTACGTGTGTCAGAAAAAAAGGAAGAAAAAATGATTTAATCGTTAAACAAACAATTTTATCATCTCGTGAATTCTTAGGCTGAGCTCCATCAGATGGACTTTCCCAGGATGAGGATGCTCATGAAGAAGACCATGATGAAGAAGAGCCACATGAAGAAGCGATCCATGACCTTGGCGACCTTCCTCCACTCGCCGATGCGCAGCTGTGCTGCTCGCTGGTCCTGGTAGGAGTTGGCAATGTACTCAACATTCTTGCCCAGTTCCTGGTGTTGGCATAAACACTTCACCAAGATCTCCCTCCTGTTCCCCCCATCTCCACCTCCTCCCTCAACACCTACGCCTTTCTTTTCCTCTTCGTGCTCACCGCAGTTTGATTCCTCCCCTCGCACTACAGCAGCTCCTTTCTCCTGTGAGTGGTCAATGGTCACAAACAGATCCTCTTTCCAGTCTGTCTGGTTGGTTACTTCCTGCCCCATCTTCAGAGGCTCCACCTCCACCTTTCCTCCCCACGCCTTCCCATTGACATCCCAATTTGCTCCTTTGGTGCTGCCGCCATTGGCTGATGGGCTGTCAGACCCCTCCTGTGATAAAGGTTCTTTCCTGGCGCCACCGAGGCAGTTCTCACCCACCTCGTACACGAAGCAGATGCGGGCGAGGTACTTGAGGATGAAGCGCTCGGCCCATTCAGGCACGGGACGAGCCTCCCCGCCACAGTGGTGGATGTTCATGATGAAGATGGTGAGCGCTGTTGATGCAGTGACCATGGTCATGGTGGCAATGTAGTACTTTCCTATAGAAATAAGACACCGAAAAGTCAGGTAGAGGTTGGTGACCCTTATTTGCTGTCCCTATAACTCCAAATCAAGCTTTAGTCTTAGTTGCAGTAAAAGCATACAGCTGGTGAATATAGGACACTCTGATTAACCCTGTGAAGTCTAAAGTGGGTGTGACTACAGACAGCGGCAGACGAGCAAACATTCCTCTTATACTTCTTTATTTACTGCAGAGGCACTTGGGTAGTTGCTGCATTGCTGCATTGAAGTCTCTGAAAATTGAAAGCTGAAAATCACAGTTAGAGTAAGATCCAAGCTGCTTTGCAACCCACCTCCATCCAAGCTCCACCTATCATTTTGATTGGGTCTGTATCTGAATCCTCTTTGTCAGTGGTCCTCTTGTCATTGATGCCAAGGCTCAGTGACTCAATGAGAGCTGCAAGCTGGAGGTTTTGAAAGGTCCTCAAATCCATCGACAACAACTGTGCCCCAGCAATCACTGAGATGTGCTACTTTTATCCAAATTACATACTTTAAAGGCATCTACAAAAGACTTCTGAAGTCAGTGAAGGTCATGTCTGACTGTAAACAATCAATGAACACAATAGTGTAAATTAGACTTTATAAACTGGTCAGCATCAGGTGTTGTTGGGCAATCACCAGTATTTTCTGCTAATAGATTTAATACAAAAGATTACATCTTTCACGTAATCTAAAAACAGCTCCACCTTCTCCAGCTTCGATTTTAGACAGAGATCAGCGCGACGGTAAGCAAGAACATCCCTCAGAGAGATGTCCAGTAACCATTCGGAGACCTCAGAGTGATTTTCCGTTTCCTGTTGATTGACTCTTTGGTGACTCCTAAATCCCATTTAGTCTTCCCTTTAACCTGAACCTCATTGTAGGAGCCATTTTCATGTTTTGTGTATTATCTTATGTGTGGGACTAGTTTTCACTTTTTGTGTTTGTAAATGATTGGATTTAAGGTAGGAACATTTAATTAGGGTCAGGTTTAATTGGTTGAAAGGACCAAACAGTTTGTGACTGCTGGGATTTATTTTGGATATTAAGATGAACTGTGGAACAGCAAGTTCAAGCAATGATGAGCAATAAATGCTTAATCTAAACAACGCTGGAGCTATTGGAGTTTCTCCATACCACAAGTTTTCAGTCATATTAGTGACATCATGTCAACCCTGCCCATCAAACACCTCAGTGGCTTCAAACATAGGCTTAGCCTCTGCACTCTTTCTGCAGGGAAGCTCTGCTTGCCTAACACATTGGCATAACAGGAAAATCTCTTTGGATTACTCCGAGGATACACTCTAGGGACATCCCTAAGGCTGAAATGTGTCTGTCTGAGGTATCCTAAGGCACCCTCAAATATTAGTAACTTGTCAGATACAGTGTAGCCATGTAACATTTGCAGGAGGGATGATGAATATAAACATTACAATAATTCTGATTCATCATGAATGTTTTTTTTAAATACATAGATGTAAATAAAAGTCAGAGGCTGTTCTCACCTATCAGCGGGACGCTCTCAGAGGGTGGCATGCTCTCAGCTACGAGCAGCTGAAACACGGTGAGGGCCAGCAGCACTGTGACACCCAGAGAAACCTTTTCACCTGAATCCGCTGGCAGGTAAAAGCCCAGCGGAGCCAGAAAGGAGATCATCATGCAGGGAATGAGGAGGTTGAAGATGTAGAAGGAGGCCCGCCTCTTCAGGTGGAGGGAAAAGGTAATGTCTGGGTATGGCTCTGAGCAGCAGCCATACAAGATGACATTTTTCTTGGCTGGCATTCCCAGAACCTGGTTAGAGAAAATTTTGGGTTCGTCAAAACATTCATTAAGGATGTGCTAAACACATGACACCATTACTGACCTCCCACTCCACATTGGGGACAAAGTCTTTCAAGTCGGCGCTGTCCAGGGCATTGAACAAATCCATCTGGTTTCCGTTGTGAGTCCAGGAGCCAAAGGTTAGGTCACACTGCTGCAAATCGAAGGGGAAGAAGGCCACATCAACAGAGCAGGAGCTTTTGGTGATGGCTGGCTGGTCCCACATGACTTGGCCATCGTTACGAAGAACAACATTGGTCTCCATGGAGCTGGAAAACTCATCATCTGCACTATGATAGAAACAAGGAAGGAGTTTGAAAACATCAATAAATATCCTGAAGATCAGCCAGCAGGATGATACACCTACCTGTTATACAGAACAATATCGGGTCTCCAAACGTAGCTGCTGGGTATGCGGATGGTGTCAAGGCCATCATAGTCCTCCTTCTTCCATGTGAGAAAGGCATCCATCCATACCTGGCGGACCCACAGGTAGGTAGTCAGGATCTGGTTCCGCTCATCCTGGTGAAAATCCATGAAAACGGCAAGGTCACACCAGTACCTGCCTGACTAGATACAGCATAAAGAGCTGGATAGGCATTCAGGGTTTGATTACCATGTCAATGATCTGGGAGAGAGTGACCTGTAATGTGACATTGATGATGTAGTCGGTGTCCTCCACCGGCCGCAGAGCATTGGTGTAGTTGGTAAATAAGTCTTTCATCAGTTTCTGAGCGAAGCGCCCATGAGCAGCCCGGCAAACTGAGGATCAGAAAACAGATGACAAGAATAGTGCCGGGTCAGGCAGACCTCAAAGTCATTACCTGCAATCGCAACAGATCAACTGATGCACAACTGTTGTGCATTTACAGGCTGCTTTGCAACCCACCTCTACCTGCTGTGGCAGTCGCTCAGTGAAACTGGTCACAAAGAGGGTGCTGCACCAAAACCTTCCTTGCAATAGCATTGGTTCTAGCAGGTCAATGCAATTATCCATAGTTTGCATGGAAGATGCTGAGATGTGCCTAATTATTAGCTAGGTGCTAGCAAAAGCTATAGTGTGACATCAGATATAAACACAGAACATTTGCCCTCAGAGTAAAAGTTGTGCCTCACCTTTGCAGCCAACATGTTTCAGAACATGAGACACACTTTTACTCTGAAGACAGATGTTCTCTCTTTCACTTTTCACAGCTGCTGAATGTTTGTAGGCAAGTTCCTCCATAAAAACTACTGGTACCTGGTACTGGTTAAATGTGATCACTTTCAAGGACCAAATACTTCAGGCTAATGGAGTGTGAAGCGTATGTACACTTTTTTTTTTTTTTTTTTTTTTTGCCTGTCCCGTTTGGCTCTTTTGCATCAGAATTGTTGTCTAAAGGCAAAGAAAGATGCCCAACGGATTTACTTTACCAAACTGACCATCCCAGCCTTGCCGTAATGGTCCATTTGATTCACCTTTTATTGTTTATTTTATTTTCACTTACTGAATACGGGACAGACTTGACTGGGGGAAAGAAGGGGAGAAAGAAAGAGGGAAAGAGAAACAGCTGAGAAGAGGGACGGGGGAGAAGGGCAAAAAACAAAAACCAACAGAACGGGCAGAGAAAAAAAAAATGCATATATCAATCACCTGGATCACCTGCTGAGAAAGAAAAAAGAAAGCAAGCAGAAGAGAACAGGAGTAATAGAATAAACAACATCACAATGATATATGGGAATATGACAGTAAATACTAAATGTTAAACATTATTGTGCAGCACATAAGATCAACAGAACACAGTGTGCTTTGAGGTAGGAGCCAAAAAGGGTGTAGTTTGTGGGTGTGATCACCATGTGTGCACACCTGTGAGCATGGACGCGCTTGTATTTAAAAGGTTCCTTCATGTAATGATCTGCTAGAGGGTGTGGGGGGGCCACAGCCCCGTCCTCCAGGGCATGAAGCAGGTATGGAGGAGATCAAAACTCCAGACATCCAGAGGCCCCCAGAACACAAGTATATACGCTTTTTAAATGATGGCGATAAATGTATTTGATATTTTTGTTTAAAGGAGAAGAAGCTGCTTTCCTGGATTTATTAAAAAGACGGCGCATCATGTCAATTTGTTAGTTAAAGGTCTGTCTGTCCATGCTTTAGGAACGATGTGACCACATTCTAATCAGCTGAAGTGAATCCTGTGCTGATGTAAACAGAAAAGAAAAACGGAAGTGATTTTATTTGGCCCAAATGTCTGTGAAGGTTCTCAGTCATCCAGGTCATCGTAGTCAAAGGAGCTTGCAAAGAAAAGCGTCTGGACTTCTTTAAGTTGCTTGAAGACGTTTCACCTCTCATCCGAGAAGCTTCTTCAGTTCTAAGGTCAAATGGTGGAGAGTCCAATTTGGCCCAAATCCATTTCCTGACCTTCCAGATGTTGATTTCACTGTTTGATCTCTCATTTGAAGAATTCAATCACAAATCTTGGAGTAAAAATTGATTCTTGATGGCCACGTGAATGGGGCGGTAAAATCAGCATTCTACCACCTCAGATGTCTATCGAAGATCAAGCCCTTTCTCTCCAAACGTAACTTAGAAGCTGTAATTCATGCTTTTATTACTTCACTCCTGGATTACTGCAATTCCCTTTTAATAGGGGCTGGGCACTTTGTCACGCTTACAATTCGTGCAAAAATGAAATTCGACCGCATCACTCCGGTTTTGGCCTTTCAACATTGGCTTCGAATCAAATTTAGGATCCATTTTAAAGTTCTTTTATTGGTTTTTAAATCTTTAAATGCTTTGGCACCTGTTTATTTGTCCGATTTGTTGAAGCCTTACGTTCCAACTCGTTCCCTCCAGTCAGCTGAGCAACTGCTGCTTTCAGTCCCTAAGTCTCAGATTAGACCGGGCGTTCTCTGCTGTGGCCCCGTTGCTTTGCAACAATCTTCCTCTTCATATTAGACAGACTACATCAGTGCCGGTTTTTAAGTCGAGATTAAAAACCTATTTTTATTCTCTGGCTTTTAACTCTTTATTGATTTAATTGCTTTGTTCAGTTCTTATATTATTACTATTTATAGATGTATTGTTCAACACTTGGTCTACCAGGTGTGTTTTTTAAAGTGCTATATAAATAAACGATGATGACGTAAAAAGGATCAAGAAGTCAAGGTGTATAATCGTTCACTCTTCACGCTGTGGTGCACATCTTTAGAATATTTTGCACATGAAACTTTAAGTGTTGTCAAGTCTTATGTAATTTCTCTGTTGCTTTTCTCTGCATTGATCTGCTGCTGGATCCTTTCTACAGAAATGCTCAACGCTACATACCATAACACACACATGCAAACCACATTTCCCAGTTCAATTAACCCAGTAATCACCTCAGCGTTTAATCAGCGAGGGTCTCCAGAGCAGCAGCAGGTTGATAACTGCTCTAATATCCTGTTTACAGTTAATGATGGTGACAGCAGTGCTGAAGGCAAACGATGACTCTGTTTATGAGTCTGTCCAATAGATTTTTCACATAATAAAAACTGGAACAAACAACAAAGGATGAAATTATTGAGTCGTACTTACAAACAACAACAAACAAGCTTTATTTGTCACATACACAATTCTATATAGTACAACATGAGTGATGTGCTTGTGTCCGAGCTGCAGACGTGGCCGTCATTCCAGGGCTTGGTTTGGGGTTTTTTTTAGCATGGGCGGTCTGGTCAGGACCCTTACTGGATACTCTGAATCAAACTTGCAACTCCCACTCCAAAGGTGTGTGGTCTTACCATTAGTTTTTACAGTGTAAAAAGCAACTCAAGTTTCAAATGTATTTTTTCACGAGCATAAAATACATTCACAAACTGTGCATATTCACCTTTCACACACCATATTTCTTTCCTGAATGTGTTTTCACTCTGCAACAAGATCACACTGTAAATATCTGATGAGAATGATAATCCATCTACTCTCCTATCCCAGCCTGGGTCACAGGGGCAGTAGTCTCAGCTTGTGCCTGACCCTCTGTCACCTCAGCCACCCTCTCATGCTCTTCTATGGAAGTCCTGATGTGTTCTCGGGATAAGGGAGGAATCCTGGTTGGATGCCTGAACTCACTCAGCTGCTTCCTCTTAATGTCGAGGGCAGCAGCTTTACTTGGAGCCCTTCACCCTCTCTAATAATAACAATAATAGTGGCCCATGAATCATTTCTGTAGGAATAATAAAATGGTGTCTGAGGGGGAGAATAAATATTTCATGTTCTCCAAAGTTGTTATCAGGTCAGACATCGTGGCTGGCAGTGCTGATGATTCATGTGAACTCTCAGCCAGACAGCAGCAGATAAACAGCACAGACCTCACTGTTGGCTGCAGAGTGACGCTCACTGAGAAAATCACCTCGCAACCACAACATGCTGTCGCTTTCTGCCTGACACCTCGCAGATTATTGGCTTTATGTAATAAAAAGATTACACTTTATTACAGACCTACAGTCTGTATAAGAGGGAAAATAGAAATGACTTCTTTTGTTTCACAGACTGTAGAGAAACTGTTCGATTCAAATTCAGTAAATTAAAATCTACATAACAACAAAATCCAGACCTAATAGTCTGCTTTTTACGTGATGTTCATTTAAAGATGGCGCAATTCAGAAACCTTTACGGATAAAATAAAGTAAAATAAAAACTCAGATGCTAAACCTTCACCCACTCTGAACACTCGATAACAAGGACAACACACATGCTTTGCACAAAAAAGGAGACACACGAGACTCCGTTTTTGGTTTAACGACCTTCACTTAACAGGAAATAATACATTACTGCAATATGACTGTAGAGACACAGCGAGGGGGGTCAGAGTGTTCACATCGTCTGTACTAAAATGGAAATGTGGACGTGAAGCTCTGGATCTGTGCAACAGAAGAAAACGGGATTGGGTGTCGTTTCGAGGAACACATGGAGATGGTCCAGTTCTGCTTCAGCTCTGTTTCTGTGTTTAAGGCTGATTCACAGCTGATGTTTTTGTCTGCAACAAACCCACTGATGGAGAAAAGGTTAAGGTTCTGTTCTTGACCAAATGTGCTACAAAGACAAGGTTAGAAGGAAATACCTGCAGGTAAAGCCCCAAATTAGTGACAATCTTCAGTTTAAATGGAGCAAATTTATAGAAATAGCTTATCTTTACTTAAAAAAGATCCATAAATTAACTGAGTGGTTTGTAAAGTTTTTGATAGTTTGGCATAAAAAACAAACAACATTTTACCTTTTGATTTAAATTAACTCATCTTTTCAGCAGTGCTTATAAGTAGATATACGTACTTTTTACTAAGTTACTGTGTTTTTAGTAAAAATCGGAATTCACACTAATAAAATATTTAAGCTTGGTATTCCAGATTGTGCATTTTAATGGTATTTTTACCCAAACAGCAATAAATGTTCGGCCCAGATGTGACCCATGACTGGAGTTTCCTTTGAGCCACATTAACATGACTTTCACTCAGGACGAGTTCCAGTGTCCTTAACTTACCACTGGTCTGCTGTACACGCACCAAATGTCAGCATGGACCACATCTGAACCACACAACATTTACAGCACAGAACATGCCAGAAGTGAGTGTGAAATTTTTGTCATGTGTTTCATTTCAAAGTATTTTCATTTTTCCCTGATTGCCAACATTTGGGAGCACAACTTAATAAAAACCAGACTTCTTGCCCACTACTTTTGCACGACTTCCAATTACTTACAACCTGCTGGTTGGCTTTTTCTCTGTATGTATTATCGTAGGGTCTA